GGAGGGGACATTCATTGAATTCAACAAAATCCCCACGAACCCGGCACAGTACGTGCAGTGCCGGGGGTGGCGGACCGTCTCCCCATCCCGCCATCAAAGGGGGATGCGAAGTCCCTGGAGACGGGACGATGTGGGCACAGGTTGGCATCATAGCCGACCCACAACCAACAGAGGCATCATAGCTTCTGATCCTCATACTGTCTAGGCTGATCCACTCACGGATCCAACACCTCATCTTCTACTCATTTCATTCCATGCGTAGCATGCTCTCCCCTCCCCAGGACTTGCTTTTCATCCTGAACCGTTTTTTAACAGTCCCGAGGCCCGGCGAGGTCCCCCAGATGCGGGCAATTTTTCGGTCCATATCCACTGCAGTCTGGAGTTCCGGGCTCCCTTCCCAAGAAACCCGAGGCGCACTGGATATGGATAAATGTGCCCCCTTGAGGCTCGATTTTTATCCATATCCAGTGCGCCTCGGCCTTGTGGCGCCGCTTCCAAAAAAGTCCAAGAGGCACTGGAGATGGACATGAATCTTGCCCGCACCCAGAGGCCGAAAATGATGACAAATTGATCCAGTGGGTCTGGGGATCGTGCGCGCCGCCAGTGAAATGGCGGGGGGATCGCCCCAGACCCCCAGGGCCTCGGCAGCCTCTCCGGGTTGGCGCCGGGCGCGCGCGGGCAGGGCGCGCGGCGCGCCCGGGAGCGGTCTGGCGCGAGAGGGGTCGAGGGGGAGGAGGAGGAGGAGGAGGAGGAGGAGGTGGAGGAGGAGGAGGAGGAGGAGGAGAGGAACGGTGAGAGGAAGGAGGGGGAGGTGGGAGGGGAGGAGGGGGAATGGAGGGGGAGGAGGAGGGGAGGAGGGGGAGGAGGAGGAGGAGGAGGAGGAGGAAAATGGAGGAGGAGGAGGGGAGGGGGTGGAGGAGGAGGAGGGAGGTCGGATGAGGAGGAGGAGGTGGAGGGAAGAGGGAGGAGGAGGAGGGAGGAGGAGGATGTGAGGGGGGAGGAGGAGGAAATGGAAGAGGAAAGAGGAGCTAGTTAGGAGGAGGAGGAGGAGGTGGAGGGGAAGGAGGGGAGGAGGAGGAAAAGGAGGGGCAGGAGGAGGAGGAGGAGGAGGAGGAGGAGGAGTTTCGCTCTGGTGCCATTTTCCGCAACGCTGGATTCGTATCTCAAGGAACGTGCGCCGTCGCCACATCAGGCGGCAATGGCTTCAGGCTTCGGGGTGTGGTGTCCCCGATCTGCGGATCTGGCGCCAGCCCTCCAAGTCCGTGGATCCATGATCCACGTTCGCGTATGCCCGAAAGAGGAGGTTGGGAATTCGGAAGTTCCCGAGCGGTGCGGTGACCACATCGTCGGCTGAGTCGGTGTGGGTTCCCAGTGGCCGCCAAGCTTGGGTCCGAGGCCGAGCACGACACTTGAATGACAACAGCTTAGGCAAGCGGTTCCCGATCCAAGAGTTTCGCGCGGGCCTCTAACAGTTCATGAGTGTGCAGGTGTTTGTCTGCTTCTTCGGAGACTCTTCAACAGGCCCTCGGGAGGCCGAAAAGCAGTTTGCATCGGCGGATCCTTCAATGTGTTGGATGTCTCCAGCAGCCTTCCTTCTGGTACGGGGATTTATTCATCACCTCCGCCAAGGGGATCGAGATTCGGGGACCTCGGCAAGCGGATATTGATACATTCGGGCCTTTGGGAGTTGGGGTGGGGTCGGGGCGCGCAAATACACCCAGTGGTGGACTGGGGCCAGGGGGGCCGTGGAGCGGGCAGAAGCCGAAGAAGGAAGAATGACACAGATCGTCCGATCCGTCCAGGCCTCTGCCACGCTATGGTATGTTGAGGTCGTCGGGAGCGGAAAAGAGGGGGGTGATGACTAGGGGGGGTGGATTCCATGGCGCGGGCCATGATTTTTTCCCAGATCTCACGGCGCCTCTTCTTATTTCTCATTACGTCCCAGGCCCCCCCGCTGGGCCGCGCACGTGCCGCCTGTCACGATTTGCACCCCCCCCTCTTGGACACCCCCCTCTTGGCCGCTCCCGAGGTCGGGAACGCTCGCTCAGCGTGCCGCGCTGCTGTGTCGGACCCACCACGCCTCGGCGGCACACGCTGGCCCCGCCCTGCTCCCAAGCCGACACCGTCCCGAGCTGTTCCGAGCACCCCGCGGGGCACGGCGTGCTCCAGACCGCAGCCCTGCCCTGATGGGCCTGTTTTCCACCACCACCACCATATGTTGGAGGGGGAGGGGGTCCTCCTCCTCCTCCTCCACCTCCTCCTCCTCCACCACCTCCTCGTGTCCTCCTCCTCGTCCTCCTCCTTCCCCCCATCCACCTTATGGTGGTGGTGGTGGAAAACAGGCCCATCATGCCCGCGTTCCCCTCTGGGTGGGGGTGCGCGCTGCCGAGCCCGCAGAGAAGACGGCTTCCAGCCGGACGGTCGGCCTGAAGAGACGGCGCCAAGACGCCGAAGTGAGGACCACTCCTCCTCCTCCTCCTCCCCCTCCTCGTACTCCTCCTCCCCCCCTCCTACTCCTCCCCCTCCTCCTCCTCCTCTTCCTCCTCCTCCTCCTACTCCTCCGTGCCTCCTCCTCCTCCTCCTTTCCTCTCTCCTCCCTCTCCTGATCATCGTCCTCCTCATCCTCCTCCCTTCAGGCTCGGCAGGGGCTCTGGCTTTGGAGCCGCTCTCTCAGGTCAGGGGGCCCTGCTTGCGCGCCGGCCGGCGCAGGGCCCACGTTCGGTCGGTCCAAGTCGGGGAGCGCATGCTCAGTTATCGTTTCACCGAGCCCCCATCTCCGTCCCCGTCCCCCGTCGAGACCCCTTCGACCAAACTTCCCCCCCCCCCAGGGACCCCCACCAACTTCCCCCCCCCCAGTTGGGGATGCACCCCTCGAGGCCCGAAGGGAACGACCTGTACCGTTCGGGGGGCAGATCGGCCAGAGGGGCCCAGGCCCCGCCGCCGGGGATGGGGATCGGTCAAACGATATACTCAGTCGTCGTCGTCGTCGTCGTCGTCGTCGTCGCCGTGGCCAGAGAAGCCCCCGTCGTTCTCGTGATGGAGCGCTCCGCACGGTGGCCTCGGCACCGCTCGGACGCGTGCATATTTTTCCTCGGCGAGGACCACGGGGGAGCAAATCCCGGACGACTTCGCGAACAAAAGTGCACGCACGGAGTCGAAAAAAGGCACGAGGACTGGACTTGGGCGTCCGAGCGATGGCAAGCAGCTCGATGCTGGCGAACGTCGTGAAGTCTTCGCGCGGGTGTGCCCTTCGCGCGCCGGAGGCGAGGGAGGGCCCTGCGCCGACCCGGGCGAGATTCGCGCGCGGCACTCCCCCTGTCAGTGATTGTCCAGTGCATTGCGTGTTGCCCTTCCCCAGAGATCCAACGAATTGGAAAAATCATGACGGAGCTTTTTTTTTATAGGTTTCGGCCTCTAGGGGCCCTTAATGGGCCTCGGGACCGTCAAAAAACGACTCAGGATAAAAAACTTGTGCTGGGGAATGGGTCGAGACTTCCGGGGACCGCGTATTGAACAAATCACGACATCGGATCTCTGGGTCTCGTTTGATCCCCAAGCAGTGCTTGCACTGTAGGTGTCCTAGCGGAGATTCAAAGATTGGCGAAAGTTTCCCGCCGAGTCCTAGCGGATATTCCCCAATCAGTGCTTGCACTGAAGGGGTCCTAGTGGATATTGAAAGATTTGGCGAAAGTTTCCCGCCGATTTTGGTAGCCGGCTGGGTTCCCGGATTCCCGGTTCTGTGTTCCCGGGTTCCTGGTCATTGGTCCCGGGCCGATTTCGGTGGGTTCCAGGTTCCCGGGCTTCCCGGTCGATCTTCTCATCGATTTATTTTTCGATCCCATTTCAAGCCATCCATGGGTTGGGGTCTTCCTTTGGTCCCTGGTGTCAGTTTATCATGGCTGCGCTTCTTCTTTCCGCTCCTCACGACCCGCACCTCCTCCTCCTCCTCCTCCTCCTTCTCCTCCTCCTCCTGCTCCTGCTCCTTCCGCTCCTCACGGCCCGCATCGCGCCCCTGCCGCTGCCGCGGCAGGCCGCGCCTGCTCCGTGGCGCGGCGGCCTCTCGGGGCGTGCGCACGGTGGGAGGCCCGAGGAGGAGAAGGAGGAGGAGGAGGAGGAGAAGGAGGAGGAGGAGAAGGAAGAGGAGGAGGGGGAGGAGGAGGAGGAGGAGGAGGAGGAGGAGGAGGAGGAGGAGGTGGAGGAGAAGAGAGGAGGAGGGGAGGAGGTGGAGGTGGAGGAGGAGGAGAGGATGGCGGGCTCGCGCGGGCTCCTCCGCTCCGCGGGGTCGCGGGGGCATCGCGGAGCGCAGAGCGGCCGAGCCTCGTCGTCGCCGTGTGCTCGTCGCGGCCCTGGCGGTGGGCGAGCAGGAGGTAGGAGGAGGAGGAGGAGGAGGAAGGAGGAGGAGGAGGAGAGGAGGAGGGGAGGAGGAGGAGGAGGAGGGGGAGGACGGGGGAGAGGGAGGGGGAGGAGGAGGAGGAGGAGGCGAAGCCTCGCTCGCCTGCCAACCGCCTTCCGCCCCTCGCTTCGGGTGGGCGGGGGGGGGGGGGGGGGGGCGGGAGGGAAGCGCCACCAACACCGCCAGGGGGCCCACAGCCAGCGAGGAGGTCCACGATGCCTTGCCGAGCTGGAGGCTGGGTGTGGCTCGAGCGAGAGGGGGGGGGACCACACCACCAGGGAGTTCCCCCTTTCCTCCTCGCATCCCCTCGCCCTGTTGGTGCTGGTGTCGCCTTTTCTTGTTCCTACCTCTAGGCTTCCCAGATGGGTTCGGAGAGCAGGTGGGGTCGGAGGATCGTGACGCATCGATGAGGCATCGGCGATGCGGCTCGATGTGGAGGCCGATTCGCTTCAAGTCGACGTCGCCGATGCACCGCCCACGGCGGCAATGCATCGCCGATGCATCGCCGATGCATCGCCGATGTGTCGGCGATGCGGCGCGATCCTCCGACCCCGTCTGCTCCGACCCCATCCAGGAGGCCTCGACCTCCCCACTCTGTGCCGCTCGCAGCGGGCACCTCTGGTGCCGGGCGCGGGGAGGGGGCGCGCAGAGCTCCTCCGGCGACTCCAGGGCGCGTCCTGCAGGAGGGGGGGGCATCGTCGTCGTCGTCGTCGTCGTCGTCGCCGCCGCTTGACGCCGCCGCTCGGCGTCGCCGTCGTGGGCGTCGCCGTCGTCGCCGCCACCGTCGTTGCCGCTGCCGCGGCTGCCCTCCTCGTCGGGCAAGGCTCCAGGGCGGGGCAGGGTCAAGTCGGGCATGTCCCCCTAGAGGGGGGACATTCAAAAATGCAAAAAAATAGTCTCGGGACGATGTTTTGAATATTTTAGACAATTTTGGAATAGTTGTTTGATATCTTTTATGTTTCTTCGAAAACCCCCCCTGTAGGGGGACACGCCCGACTTGAGGGTAGGGTCCGATGCAGTCCCCAGACCAAGTCACGTCGTGGGCACAAGTCTCTACTGCGGGGTTGTTGGACCCGTGCTGGCCTCCCGGGGCTCGCACCAGACACCAGGACTGCTTCACAGAGGTCCAGGAGGAAGCGTCAGTCCTGGGGAAGATTCGGCAGCCTCCGAAGGTAGATCGGAATCTCGAGAAGCCTGGGCTCAGCCTGCTATTCGAGCCACGATTGAAAAAGCTACTCTTACTCTGGAAGAAGTCTGAATGTATTGACATACGCAGATGTGTGGACTCTCGAAAACTCAGATCCGTTGCAGGACCTCCACGGGCGCACGTTGTGAAACAGACTGGTCGTGTATCCGTTTGGGGTGGCGCATAGAACAAGCAACGGGCATGCCATCACATGTCCCACGGACATATCTTATCCCTGGACTTGGGGAACGAAGAATGGCAAAAACAGAAAGATTCGGAGGTCCGCGCGGAGTTCGCAGATCCGCGCTGGACCCCCCTGGCGACGTCTCTGTCGCCGCCCCTGGCGCGCCCCGTGCGCCAGGGAGGGGGTCCAGCGCCGACCTGAGAAATCCGCGCGGACCTCCGAGTTTTTATCCTTGTGTCAGTTTCCGTTCCCCTATGGATGAGCCCAAATCCCTTCGGACACTATTTGGGGGAGCTGGCGGGATTGACGACACATGCGCCTCTAGACTTTTAAGCCGGGCCTGTCCATCTACAGGGGGGAAATTCAAAAATAGTATAACAATAGTCTGGGTATAATCTTCCCATCATTTTCGGGTAGTTTTGTTGAGCATTGTCTGACTGTGTTTTATTCTTCGCCCCAAATCCGCCTGTAGGGGGACATGCCCGACCTGACTCGAGACGTACACGCCGGTCGTTGAAAACATGTATTTTGGGATGCCCAAATCCTGATCACTGTACGCGCCTTCCTACTTCAAGAGTCGAGCGGTTTTCCCCCTTCCCTCCGCTTCAGGGGGTGGGCGGAAGTCCAATCTACTTCCAAGGCCTTCCTACTTCATGCTTCTACCCACTTCTTCCGACCGGCGTGTATGTGTGCGCTGCAGAACTTGGCATCGCTTGGACGTGTGCATTTTTTCTCGGCGAGAAACCACGAGGACCATCCTGGACCATCGAGAAAAAACAGCACGCGCGAAACCGAACAATGCACGGGAAATGGACGTCCGAGCGATGGCAAGAGAAGGGGGCGGCCCCCTCCCGGACGAGGCCCCTGCGCGGCTTTCCTGGGGCACTGGCACGGGGAGGGCAGGCCTCGCGCAGAAGAGGCCCGAGGGGAAGGCCTCTTCGAAGCACCCTGCTTCTTGCGGGCGATCGCAGACATGGACTCAGGGGGGCGTGGATTAGCGACGGGTCCCGCCTCCGTGGGAAATCGCGGATTTCCGCCTCCGAGCGAGGCGGCACCGGCCGCATTCTGGGGAGGGCACCTCCCCCGATCCATGGATTTGGCGACCGCGCGCCAAATCCATGGATCGTTAATCCCTGTTTGCGCGCCCCCGAGACAAGGCTTCTTCGAAGCACCCTGCTTCTCAGAAGGCGCGGGCCCTCTGTGCAGACGTCGGTTCAGCGCCTTCTCGGAAGCAGCCTCCCTCCACGAAAGGCCTTCCCCCCTCCCCCCCTAATTACTCCCCTCTGCGCGCCGCCAACGAGGGGGGAACGTCGAGCCCTGATAGTGGCATGCGTTGCTTATATCGGCGTTGGGTACTCCAGATTTCGTAATAAAGGGAGGGGGGTTGCATTTCGGGGGGGGTCTCTTCCAGGCTATCTTGGAGGGCCTGGGGGGGTCTGGGGACGATGTTTTGGAGGGTTCTCCCACGGGGGAGGTCTGAAATGGCTTGTCTTGGAGGGTCCAGACCCCCTCCCTTTTATTACGAACTCTGGGGTAGCCCACCGCGCTTGCCCAGGGCCCGCCACTCTCCGAGAGACCCTCCTCGGGTTTCTTGCGGCGAGCGGCGGCACCGCGGCGCGGACGGGCAGCGCCGCTCGGGGGGGCGCCGCCGCCTCGGTATGGTCGGGCTGAGGTCTAGAGGTCGAGGCCGGATCGCCCGTGTTCCCGTGGTTGGACCTCCTGCGACGGCCCTCGTCGCCACCGCCGGGCTCGCCTCGAGATTCTGGTCAAGACGCTCCCTGGGAGAGGTCCAGGGAGTGGAGGTCTCGGTGCCGCTTGGCTTTCCCAGCTCGGGGAGAGGGTACCTCCGTGTTCCTCGTGCTTGTGGGATGGCTTGGTGCATCCTGGGGAAAAGAGTAGGCTCGAGTGCACTTCAGTTCGGGCTGGCGGAGGGTCTCATGTTCTGAGGAGGGTGTTCTTCTGTCGTTAGAGTTCGGTGGGGATGGCTCGCCGGCATTGCCGCCTCTGTCTCCCCCCCCGGCACCCCATACGAAGCAGATGCAGCAGACCGCGCCTGACGACGACGCCCGACTCACTCAGAAAGCAGCACCCTCTCCCTACCGCCGACCCGCCACTTGCTCGCCTCCTCCTCCTCCTCCTCATCCTCCTTTTCCTCCTCCTCCTCCTCCTCCTCCTCCTCCTCCTCCTCCTCCTCCCACCCTCTTGTTGCGCTGCGCGGGCGCGGTGGTCTCGAGGTGGCACGTCGCGTCTTCTCGACCTCGCCCTCGTCGTTCCTCGTCCTCGTCCTCTCCACTCCTCCTCGTCACTTCTCATTGTCCAGGCGATCGCCCGTGAACCCCTCTCCTGCAGCTTAGAGGTCTGAAACACTGGATGGTGGATCCAGATTTAAAGGGTGCTTGCAGCCAGGCGACCCCCTGCTAGGGGTGCCCGTCGGGTCCGTAAGTGCCGCTATGAAAGATACGAGGTCATGAAGATGAGGGGTCCTGATAACCGCAGAGGGTCTTTAATGATGCACCCCCCCTTAAGCTCTCGGCGGGGAATAGAAACTCGTCCCTTCTCCTCCTTCCTCTCCCTCCTCCTTCCCCTCCCATGTTCCAGTGCGCGCAGCAGCGGTGGCGGTGGTGTGTCGGAGAGGAGGAGGAGGAGGAGAAGGAGGAGGAGGAGGCCGCCAGGCGTTGAGCGATGGGATTGTTGAGCACTTCTCATGACCTCTCATGCATCCGCTGACGAGAGTAATTCATTTCCAATTATTGTCGGGGTCCCAATCCGTCAATGAGCCGGCGGAAAACATATTTATCTTCCCATTATTGCCCAGGGGTTTATTGAAGATCGTTTGGGGTTACCCAGGAAGGTGGCGAGCCAATTCCAGGACTCCTCTCCCTCAGGACCCGTCTCCTTCACGCGAAACGTGCTCGGTCCGATACCCCAGCGGCGATTCGACCTGAAGGGGCACGTACTCGGTGCTCCCCGACTCGGCCACATGTCGACCCAGCCATCCTGTGGAGTGCCCATGAGTCAAAAGTCGGCATGTTGCTCAATGTTCGGGACCTCTTCCTCGGCACCGCTATTTCTACGCAACTCTCTGTACTGTGATTTGCTCAACAGGTGCGTTCATCAAGAAGGACGTCCACCCCACCTGTGCAATAACAAGTGCACGGAGCCGTCTTGTTGACAGCAGGGCATTGGCGAGGCCACCCTGAGGCAGAAGGCTGGCTAGAGTTTTCTGTCGCGATGTCGTTGCCTCAGCTCGAGGAGGTGATGCCCCTCCCCCATTCTCAGGACAAACGCCACGTCGACGCTAACTACCGCAATCTAGGATGACGATGACCTGTCCCGGGGGCCCGTCACGCTAGAGCGTCCTGGACGATGATCAACACATCGGGTTCCCGGCCTGCAGGTGTGGGCGATGTCGTCGTCATCGAGATTCTCGGATCGCCCTTATCCACAATCTCTCCCAGAGGCAGACCGCTTGTTGTTATCGCTCCTCCTGGGAGCTTTTCTGCACGGCCATGCTATATTCGGGCTCGCAGTGGTCATAGCAGCCTGCCCTCGTCCTCAGACGACGCGGCCACACCTCGGCACATCGCGGGACATCTGGACCTGAGCCCTGCAGTCCCCCAGCTCTCCGCGGCACCTCCCGAGCCAGCATCGCGATCTGCGAGGGCCCCATCGGCCCCTCCTCCCCCTCCTCCTCCTCCTCCTCATCCTCCTCCTCCTCCTCCTCCTCCTCCTCCTGTTCTCTACTTCGTTGGTAAATGCCGAATGCCGAGAGAGGGAGAGGCCGCACTTTCCGTTGCCGGTTAGGCCCTTCAGTTTCGCGTTGAAGGGCTGAAAGGCCGCCGCCTGGGCATGCCGTGGGGGCTGGACGCGCTCGCGCACGACCTGACACAGGCGTTGTGGTGCGGGCCGGCGTCCCGGCGTGCCCCGACTGCTACCACGCACCCTCGCTGACATGCCCACCCCTGACCTGCTCTTGCCCACGCGGTGAGGGAGTGGTCGCGCTGGCCGCGGGCGCGGGCTTCTCGGGGGCGTCGCTGGCCGCGGCGGCTGGCGCGGGGCTCCTCGCTGGGGCCGCTTTCGGGGCCGCGGCGGCCCTCTGGGCGACGCGCCCCCGCGTGGACGCGCCCGTCCTGGAGCGGGCGGCCGCGGCGGCCACGGCGCCGGCGGCGGTGGAGGACGCGCAGGCGCTGGCAGCTGCGCGGGCTAGGGCCTTCCAGCGCGTTGCGCCCGCGCAGTGATGGCGGCGGGCCCCATGGCAGGAGGCTTGCACCTCACGCGCTACAGTGTGCCGGGCGTGGGGGTGTTCCCCGGGC